TAGCCAGCACCTGTGACAGGAGGTCATAGAAGGCATCTGACTCATTGGCTTTGCCTGCATCCCTCCACGAATGTTCGTCTTCCGTGGGGGCATAAGTAACCACGACCACCAATCCTCGCCTCCGGTTGATGGGAAGGCGAGCCCAAAGTAGCCTGGGGCTTACACGCTCCCACACCCCCTTCATTCTTTTGTTCAAAAGAAGAGCCACACCCTGTTGTTTGGCAGTCTACTGCCCCGAGTAGAGGACTGTCCACCACTCATGGTGGCAGGAGCCAGAACCGGTCCACCGGACCTTCTGAATGCCACAGAGATCCAGACGGTACCGGTCCAGCTCCCGACAGAGGAGTGGCAGCCTCTCCTCCGCAGTGAGCATTCGAACATTCCACGTGGCCACACGAAGTGGCTTTTCGTTGTTTCTGGAGGAGCCCCGAGGGTAGAGATTCAATCTCCTGGCTCCGTCAATTGGGGTTTGGCCAAGAGACGTCATAGATGCCTGTCCCCCCGGGGCCTCCGGCACAAGCTTATTAGTTAGATATTTTAGACGTGGTTTAGTGGTAATTTTTTTAAGGTGGAGGGGTTACCAGCCTCTCGCACCCGTCCAGAGCCCCCGTTTAGCCCCTGTGGTGGTCACAGACGCCATGAGAGGAGGGGCCAATCGGAATTGGCCCTCCCCCCACAGCACTGTCCACGACAGAGTTGCCCGTCCGGCACCGCACACACACGCACGCACACACACATACGCACACACACGCATACACACACACACACACACGCATGCACACACGCACACACACGCATACACACACACACATACACACGCATACAAACACGCACGTATACACACCCACACGCATACACACACGCATACACACACGCATACACACGCACGCATACACACCCGCACGCATACACACACGCATACACATACACATACACACACACATACACACACACGCATACGCACACGTGAACAACAATCCCCCGCACGCTGTTCGCACAGTCGTCTGTATTTACAAAACAACAACAACAACATTGAGGTTTCGAGACTCGCTTTCCACTTGAAGCTACCTGTTGGGGCTACCTGGGCCGCTTCAACCGTCAAGACTCCAATGGTGAAGGCCGTCACCGCCACGCTTCTCTGTTTACACAACAAAGCCCTCCTCCCGTCCTGCCTCGAGACGTCTTCTCGGGAGAGCACTTGCTTCTGCTGCTGCTGCTGCTGCTCATGCTAATAATAATAATAACAATTACATTTATCGAGCGCTTTTCATCAAGGATCTCAAAGTGCTGTGCAGGACACAGCAGCAGCAGCAGCAGACACTCAGCATAAAAAGAATATTACAAATACATGTTTAAAATAATTTACTAAATGAACTAAAACATTCAATTCCGCGGAAGCGTATAAACAGGATTAATGCGCATTTTTAAAATGTCCACAGACCGATGATGTTGTTACATTTTTTTTACTTAAAACTATCGTGACCGCAGGAATTCATATTCTTTGGTTCGTTCGGTAAAGTCACTTAGATTGAAAAATAATAATAATAATACAAATAAAGTGAATTAAAAATGAAAATGACAAAAAAAATCTACGTGACTTTACAAAAAGAACCAAAGAATATGTTGTTGCTGCTGCTGATGTTGCTGCTGCTGATGTTGTTGCTGCTGCTGCTGCTGATGTTGTTGATGTTGCTGATAATAATAATGCTGCCGATGCTGATGAAGCCAATAATCCTCAGCTGCAGGTCATTGTCGAGAGACGCAGAATTCGTGATCCGTGATCAAACAGCAAAGGACGGTGACAATGACACAACGACGTTTACCGAAAGGAAATGCACACCGATGCCTATCTGAATGCAGATTCGCATCATCGCCCGCACAGAAATCGTCTCTCATCAAGACGCTCATACGTCTGGCTAAAACAGTGTCAGGTGATGAAAGTCTTAGCAGCGAGATTGAACGTGTTAATGGGGCTCTGCAATTAAATGGCTACAATGATGCTCAAATTAACAGAGCATTGAATGCCAAACCAAGATCGAATGGCAAGGCAAACATGATGAAAGCGATCGTGTTATTTGAAAAATAAAAAAATATATAATACATTGCGGGAGTAACTAACTAGCTAGAGTTTTGGAAAAATAAAAAATCAGAGTGTGTTTTGGCACGGTACACAACATTCAAAAACTAGTATCTTGTACTGAAGATGAATTGCCAAAGATATCAACAGAAGGTGTGTATCGGATTAATTGCTCGTGGGGTAAATGCTACGTTGGACGGACGTCCGGGGATGTAACATTCCCGTAAGACTAAAAGAACACACAATACAAATTAAATACTCACAAACACAACTGTCGGCAGTTGCAGAACATGGTTTGCCAACAAGGACATTCAATTGATTTTAATAACGTTGCAGTGTCGTGTAAAACTTAATTATTACTGGCCCAGACTTAATTCGAGAATCTATTGAAATTGAAAGAAATAAAAATATTTTAACCGCTCTGACAGCTGCAGGCTAAGTGCGCGCACTGGAAGCGTTTAGTTAAGTAACACATCCGACAACGGCACATGCTAATCAACTGTGATTAACAATCTCTCGTTGTGTCATTACCCCCTTCCCTCCGCTCTCCGCATCTGCTTGACGTCATCTCGCTCTGTTTACCACGGGAGGCGACGTGGATCGCTTCGACCCGTCATGGCAAAGCGCCCGCTGATGATGTTGGTCGGTGCAATTGTCAGCGAAACGTCGCGCAATGATCAAATTGTAAATGTCGTGGATTTACTCTCCAACACACCGGTGGGCTGAAGTAGTGGTGACTAATTGTTTACGTGGCAAACCTTACTGGCTGTGTCGGGTGGTGGAGGGTTACGACACATTTATGCTTACGCGACCTAACCCAAAAACCTTTATTATGAAACAGCATGGAGTTCCGAATGAATGTTGGCTGAAGGGCGTATTAATATATTGATATTTTGAATAATAGGATAATACCGCAATACTTTCACGTTTTACAAACGAATGTTTATTTTGTGTTTATGTTCACCGTAAAATTGTCGGAGAGTCAACAATCTCGAGACCGCAAAGCGGACGACGACGACGACGATGAATCGGATAAAAATGCGGACAAACCTGGCTCGAATATCACGCTCCCCCAAACGAGCCTCCCGGTGTGGCCTCAAAGGTGGGGAACCACCTCGAGTGAGCGACAAAGCACGCCCTGAGCTGAGCTCTCAGTGGGTTTGGGAGCTAAATAAATAAGTGGATCGTTTTGTGTTCCCCCCTCCCCCCCACTCCGGAATGGACGAAAGCCTTGGGACATCGATGATGACGATGATGCTGCAGCTTATGACGAAGATGTTGCTGCTGATGATGATGTTGATGCTGCTGCTGCTGATGATGATGATAATGATGACGGACCAAGCGCATTGGAATTCACGAGGACGAGGGAGAGACACGACTCTAGCTTTATCCGGGTCGCGCATTCTCTCCCATTGTCCCATACTTCTCGCGGTGTCGTTTTGCAGTAACATTCGACGATGTTTAAGTTTAATGTGCGAACGTTTTCACTTGTTTTGGCTCTGTTATTGACGCGTGGCCATCGTTTCAGTGTTTTTTTGTGTACTGTTATTTGTTCAAACTTTGTTTCAAACCGCGCGTGGAATTGTTTTTGTCTTCATATATCATTTGGTGTGTGTTGTATTGTGCTTGCGTTGAGTTACCGTCATCTTGTTTTATATTTATATAAAGAGCGTCTTAGCTCCACGCTCAGGGCGAGTGGTTGTGCACCTCCGGTTTGCCACGGTTGGCTACGTACGGTGCGAAAGAAGTTCAACGTACGTACAATGTAATTCAGTTTAAGCGCACGTGCGTTTTTATTACGTTTTTAAGCGTTGTGTTTGACAGTGGCTACTGGTATCGTTAACTTGCACGCACATCGACTCCAACACTGCGCATTTGTCAGCTGTCTGAACGTGCCTCGTGGTTCACAGGGCCACGCATTAAACCGTGCGATGTGGAGGCAGTCAGTAAATCACCCCCCCCCCCCACCAACTTCCCTTCCACGCTATGAAGAAGGACCATTCACCGAAACGTCGACCCGGTGACGAATGGGGTGAGTTGTCTGGGTTGCTGCATTGGTAGTTGTGCACAAGCACAATTAACAACAAGACTTATAATACAATCAATGGCTTTCAAAATGTAAAAAAGGTATACAACAACACGCAACGGACCTCTCTGTTCTGTACAGAAAGGCCATTGCCCGAAACGTCGCCGATTATATATTACTTTTGGACGCCGCAGTTTAATTGAGTTTGTATTTATTTTTGTTAATTGTATTTGTGCACCACTCAACGCCAACGCAGTGTCAGATGTCTGTTGTCAATTGAATCAACACGGGAACCAACACGCGTCTAGAGAGTATTTGGCTGCTGTTATACATTTCCACGTGAGGATGATAAGCCACACTTCGTTGAGCTATCATTTGCGGCCAGTATCGCTTCTGAAAAAAGACCGGGCCTTACCTGGTTAAACACAACAACAAAAACCTCTACAGTTTTTAGTTGAGTTTCATAACTTTCCAAGTTCGGCGACAAAGTTCGTCCAACCAGCGTCGTGGCGAATTCACATTTCACTCGGCGAGATGTGGTGGCATGCCTCCATTCACCACTGCCTTAGGAAGTCTGAGCGCGGAAAGAGACACGGCGGAGGAGAGAGAGAGACACGAGAGACCAGACAGATAAACAAAGGGCGCTGTTTGACAATTTAGCAACGGAGTGTGTGGCGACGACGACGATAATGATGTTAGCGGCTACGGCGGCGATGGAAGTCGGGAGTTCCGCGTTGGGTTGGATGGACGCGTGGAGATGGAGGAGGAGGTGGTGGGGGGGGTGGTGGTGGTGGGTCGCAGCACCGCCCCTCGAACCGCGTGCTCCATCCGCGCGGCGCATCACCGCGCGGGGGAGCGCTCCGCGCGCGCGCGCCCCGATAATGCCCCGGGGCGCGCGCGGCGCAGGGGCTCAGTTGAGAGAGCGAGCGAGCTGAGAAGAAGGCGCTGCTCACTCGCTCGGACACATGCGCGAAGGGCAGCCTGGCTCCGTCTGGCTCACGCCGCTGTCTCCTCCTGCCTTAAAAAGAGGGGAGGAGGAGGAGGAGGTGGTGGTGGTGGCGGTGTTAAAACGCGCGCCAGCTAAAGGCGGTGGTTTCTCTTTTTGCTCGAGTTAAGAGGAGTTACATTTGTTTTTTTTTTTGACGCGAGTCGCTTGCCTCCGTCCGTGAATGAGAGAACGAGAAGAAATCTGCGGCAGCCGCAAAAACAGAACCACACACCGGAATTACTTTAGACGCAGCCACGAGTGTGAGTGTGCCTTTAGGGGGGGCCGGCAAGGACGAGCGGAACAACTTTTGGCGTGAGAACGTCGCCTTGTTGTGCGCGCGTCTTGAAGAGACACGGGACTGACACTTTACACACACAGGTACGTTGGTGTGTGCCTGTGTCTCTCGGTGTGTCTCTCTCTGTCTCTCTCGGTGTGTGTCTGTCTCGCTCGGTGTGTGTGTGTGTCTCTCGGTGTGTGTCTCTCTCGGTGTGTGTGTCTCTCTTCTGTCTCTCTCGGTGTGTGGGTGTCTCTCTCGGTGTGTGCCTGTGTCTCTCTCTCGGTGTGTGTGTCTCTCTCGGTGTGTGTGTGTCTCTCTCTCGGTGTGTGTCTCTCTGTCTCTCTCGATGTGTGTGTCTCTCGGTGTGTGTGTCTCTCGGTGTGTGTCTCTCTGTCTCTCTCGGTGTGTGTGTGTCTCTGTCTGTCTCTCTCGGTGTCTCTCTCTGTCTCTCTCGGTGTGTGTCTGTCTCTCTCGGTGTGTGTGCCTGTGTCTCGGTGTGTGTGTCTCTCTCGGTGTTTGTGTCTCTCTCTCTGTCTCTCTCGGTGTGTCTCTCTGTCTCTCTCGGTGTGTGTGTGTCTCCCTCTCTGTCTCTCTCGGTGTGTCTCTGTCTGTCTCTCTCGGTGTGTGTGTGCCTGTGTCTCTCTCGGTGTGTGTGTGTCTCTCTCGGTGTGTGTGTGCCTGTGTCTCTCTCGGTGTGTGTGTCTCTGTCTCTCTCGGTGTGTGTCTCTTTCTCTCTCGGTGTGTGCGTGTCTCTCTCTGTCTCTCTCGGTGTCTCTCTCTCTGTCTCTCTCGGTGTGTGTGTGTCTCTGTCTCTCTCGGTGTGTGTGTGTCTCTCTCGGTGTGTGCGTGTCTCTCTCTGTCTCTCTCGGTGTCTCTCTCTGTCTCTCTCGGTGTGTGTGTCTCTTTCTCTCGGTGTGTGTGTCTCTGTCTCTCTCGGTGTGTGTGTCTCTGTCTCTCTCGGTGTGTGTGTGTCTCTGTCTCTCTCGGTGTGTGTGTCTCTCTCTGTCTCGGTGTGTGTGTCTCTCTCTCTGTCTCTCTCGGTGTGTGTGTGTCTCTGTCTCTCTCGGTGTCTCTCTCTGTCTCTCTCGGTGTGTGTCTCTGTCTCTCTCGGTGTGTGTGTCTCTGTCTCTCTCAGTGTGTGTGTCTATCTGTCTCTCTCGGTGTGTGTGTGTGTCTATCTGTCGCTCTCGGTGTGTGTCTCTTTCTGTCTCTCTCGGTGTGTGTCTCTCTCGGTGTGTGTGTGTCTCTCTCGGTGTGTGTCTCTATCTCTCGGTGTGTGTGTGTGTCTCTGTCTCTCTCGGTGTGTGTGTCTCTCGGTGTGTGTGTGTCTCTCTGTCTCTCTCGGTGTGTGTCTGTCTCTCTCGGTGTGTGTGTGTCTCTCTGTCTCTCTCGGTGTGTGTCTCTGTCTCTCTCGGTGTGTGTCTCTCTCTCTGTCTCTCTCGGTGTGTGTCTATCTCGGTGTATGTGTCTCTCTGTCTCTCTCGGTGTGTGTGTCTCTCTCTCTCTCTGTGTGTGTCTCTGTCTCTCTCGGTGTGTGTGTGTGTCTCTGTCTCTCTCGGTGTGTGTGTGTCTCTGTCTCTCTCGGTGTGTGTGTGTCTCTGTCTCGGTGTGTGTCTCTCTGTCTCTCTCTGTCTCTCTATGTCTCTCTCGGTGTGTCTCTGTCTCTCTCGGTGTGTGTCTCTCTGTCTCTCTCGGTGTGTGTGTGTGTCTCTGTTTCTCTCTCGGTGTGTGTGTGTGTGAGCGAGTTGTGGAGTTCTGTCAACGTCGCCACTGGGGAGAGAGTCGTGCGGGCGTGGTGCTGGCCACCCTACTCGCGTGTCACACTGTCGGCCTTCGTAGGTGCTGTTGCTCGCCAACAGCACTTGCCCCAACAGTCTGTTGAAGGCTACACGGGAGATCTTTGCCTTGGAGTTCTCGCTGCGTGGTTTTTGCGCGCAACGAACCCGGCGAGCCGAGTTCAGTTCCCCCTTAAAGGCCACCAACAACCAGGTGACTTATCTGAACCAGTTCTGGGTCATCCCTTAGGACAGCTCGGCCTGAAACGAGTAGCTGGTGCGATGGCGCAAACATTACCACCGGGGAGACAAAGGCGGCCGTGCGTGGTGCTGGCCACACCAGCCCCTCGTGTGCCGTGTCCGGCCTTCGAAGGTGCTGCTTACTGGCTGACAGCCCCAACAGTCTGCCAAGGTTGGGGTCTCTCTGTGTGTTCACGCGCGCACGCGTGCACGTGTTATAAGTACTAGTGATATCACCTCAATGACTATGGGGGTGTCTTTGTCTTTTCCCGTACACTTTGACTGTTTCTGTATGCGACTGTTGTTGTATGCGACTGTTGTTGCTGTTGCATGTGAAAGTTATCGTATGCGGCTGTTGTTGTTGCTGATGTATGTGGCTCGTATGCGACTGCGACTATTGTTGCATGCGACTTTTGTTGCTGTTGTATGCGACTTTTGTTATATGTGACAGTTGTATGCGGCTGTTGTTGTTGCTGTCGTATGTGACTGTTGTTGCATGCGACTTTTGCTGTAAGTTGAACACGGGTGCCGTGTGCGTTGTGTGCCCCGTGCTGGTTCGCGGGGGCTCGCGAACAGCAACTTGGCACCCCCCAAAAGTCTGTAAAAGGCTACACGGGAGATTCTCTGTCCTCTTTATCGGTGCTTGTGTGCGTGTGCTTTAACGCGCGAGACATTTTGCGCGACCAAATTGTATTCGTGATTTAAAGTCGTTGCGGTGGGATCGAGCGTGTGAACGTGAAGTGTGTGTGTGAACGTGAAGTGTGTGTGTGTGAACGTGAAGTGTGTGTGTGTGTGAACGTGAAGTGTGTGTGAACGTGAAGTGTGTGTGTGTGTGAACGTGAAGTGTGTGTGTGTGTGAACGTGAAGTGTGTGTGAACGTGAAGTGTGTGTGTGAACGTGAAGTGTGTGTGTGTGTGAACGTGAAGTGTGTGTGTGTGAACGTGAAGTGTGTGTGTGTGAACGTGAAGTGTGTGTGTGAACGTGAAGTGTGTGTGTCTCGCCGACGTCAGCCAACTCGTGTAAGACTTGTCACGCGAACGGGGGACCGCGACAACCCCACAAAGTGGCTCCGTCGTGTTGGCCCCGGCTTCGTGCGACTCGATTCACGCAATCTAACCCGGCGACCGTATCGCGCGGACACGTGTAACGTTGGGTGTTGTGTCCGCGCGCAAGGTTAGCCAGCGTGTGCTTGGCAGCGACTTGTGTTGTTGTTTTGTTGTTGTTTTGTTGTTGTTGTTGCGCGTGTCCCGTTGCGTTTGCGCATCTCGGTGGTTTATGTGCGCCACCACGCGCCACGCGCGATGTTGTTGTTGTTGACGAGCCGGTGCTGCCCGTGGACAACCTCCTCGATTTAAAGCTTTCGTGACTGCAAGGATTCATCTTCTTTGGTTCTTTCGGTAAAGTCACCACGTGGAATGAGAATAAAATAATAAACTGATAAAAAAATAAAATAACGCAATAATATTCTCGCGACGTCTCGGCCACATGACGAAGGCCGCTTGCGTTGTGGCCGAAACGTCGTGAGAATATTATTGCGTTATTTTATTTTTTTCATCAATGTATTATTTTATTCTCATTCGACGTGGCGACTTTACCGAAAGACCCAAAGAAGGCAACCTTCTCGAGTTGAGATCACCGGCACCTGAACGAGCCCCCCCCCCACCACCCACCGCCGTACTGGCCGCTACGCGTGAACCGCGCACGCACGAGTCGTCGTTTAAGAACGCGAGTTTTCCATTTGAATGTCAAACAAGTGTGTGTGTGTGTAGGTGCACCCTTGTGAGCCTCTGCAGAGACAGTGCCGTGTTAGTCTCTGTTGGTTGCTGAGCCACGCACAGGCGCACACACACACACGCACACGGGGCACGCCGAGTCGCAGTGCGGGATTCTCATCCTGGAATCAGTCGCCAGTGACTTTGGCCGTGGCCCCGAGTGGAAGTGGTGGGTCACGCGTGCGGGGTCTACAGCACCACCACCACCACTTAACTTACATGAAACACTCACAATACTGCGTGTGTGTGTGTACACGCAGTATTTTATATATATACACATTATATATACACACACACAATTAATATATACACACACACACTATATCCGCGACTAAATTGTCATTGAGAAAACCAACAACTCGGTTCGCGAGAGAGATTACACATTTCAATGGACACGCTCAGGACAAAATAAAGGACGCGGTTTACATGCCCTATATCTTCGGTTTGTGAGTGCGACGTGTATGGAGGAGTGTGCGTGTTGTGCGTGTTTTGGGTAGTGTGGTAAACACTCGTGTGCGTGTGTGTGTATAGGGGTAGCGTGTATAGGGATATTGTGTATCGGGAATGTGTATCGGGGTAGTGTGTATCGGTAGTGTGTTTCGAGAGTGTGGTAGTGTGTATAGGTGTAGTGTGTATCGGTAGTGTGTTTTGAGAGTGTGGTAGTGTGTATCGGGGTAGTGTGTATCGGGGTAGTGTGTATCGGTAGTGTGTGTTGAGAGTGTGGTAGTGTGTAGTGTGGTAGTGTGTATCGGTAGTGTGTATCGGTAGTGTGTAGTGTGGTAGTGTGTATCGGTAGTGTGTAGTTTGGTAGTGTGTATCGGGGTAGTGTGTGTTGAGAGTGTGGTAGTGTGTATCGGGGTAGTGTGTATCGGTAGTGTGTGTTGAGAGTGTGGTAGTGTGTATAGGTGTAGTGTGTAGTGTGGTAGTGTGTATCGGGGTAGTGTGTATCGGGGTAGTGTGTTTCGGGGTAGTGTGTATCGGTAGTGTTTTGAGAGTGTGGTATGTGTATCGGTAGTGTGTATCGGGGTAGTGTGTATCGGGGTAGTGTGTGTTGAGAGTGTGGTAGTGTGTATCGGGGTAGTGTGTATCGGTAGTGTGTGTTGAGAGTGTGGTAGTGTGTAGTGTGGTAGTGTGTATAGGTGTAGTGTGTATCGGTAGTGTGTATCGGGGTAGTGTGTATCGGGGTAGTGTGTATCGGGTAGTGTGTTTCAGGGTAGTATGTATCGGTAGTGTGTGTTGAGAGTGTGGTAGTGTGGAGTGTGGTAGTGTGTATAGGTGTAGTGTGTATCGGTAGTGTGTATCGGGGTAGTGTGT